GGGGTGGGGGTGGGGAGGCCGGGAGGGGGGAGGAAGAGGCTGAGGCGCTCCTGCTTCCCCCAGACTGGGACCACCCAAGCGGGCAAGCCACAGATGCTCTTCACACATGCCTGAATGAGGTCACCATTTCTTCCCAGGAGGGGCTGGAGGCTCAGCTTTTGATCAAAAGCTGACAGATGGCCCCTCGGGTTCTGCCTCAGACGTTTGAGGATCCCCGCAGCCCACAGCCCCGCAGGAGACCCATGCCACACTCTGTCCTTGCAGGGCCCAGGCGGAGGAGCGGTACGGGAAGGAGCTGGTGCAGATTGCCCGGAAGGCGGGCGGCCAGACAGAGATCAAGTAAGAGCTCCGGGCCCTGCGGCTCACCCCTGTCCTGTGCTGGCCTTTCTGGGTCCTTAGACCAGGTTTAGGGCTTCCTGGTGTGGGGCAGACCAGGCAGGGCCAGGGAGGGTCAGCATGGCCCACAGGGTGGGGGTGTCAGGACCCCCCCCACCCTGGTCCCTGGCTGTCAGGCATTCTGGGTGAGGCCAGGTTCCGTGTGGGGGAGAAAACCCAAGGATCTGTAACATGGTAGCCCCAAATCTGAGAGGGCTTGTGCCTCTTGTTCACCCATTCCAAAGAAGTCACCCGGAGGTCAAGCAGGGAAAGACGTGGTTTTATTCTATCTTATGGGAGGCACTGATGGCAGCAGGTCCGCGAAGCATCCTTACCTCCAGGCAGTAGAGCAGGCGGTTTTATAGGCAAGCAAGTTAATGAGTCAAATTTCTATCCTGTGTGTACAATGACATTGAATAAGCGTGGTAACTGCATTGCTTTCAGGTTTGCTTGGTCACCTGCATCCCAGGACTCATTACTGGGAGCGTGCATACCATTCAGAGACCAGCCTTGGCCAGAGGCCGCTCCCTGAGGGAGGGGGAAACCAGACAATACCCCACAGGGCCTGAGGGCTGCAAAGGGTCTGTGCAGGGGAAGTGGAGGCCACTGGCCCTTGGGTGCTATTCTGACGCCATTGGGGGTTTCCAGCCCAGGAGTCTCTGTGAACAGTCTGCTGGGGCAGGGGAGAGGTACAGAGGGTGACTGATTTGGGGGCAGTGAAGGAGAACCTTCTAACAGAGGTGTGGAGGGGCTGCTTTGGAAAGACACAGATTGTCCCCAGGGTGAGGACAGAGCCAGGTTGAGGGGACTGGACATCAGGCTCTAAAAGGGCTCTTTTTTCTTCTTTTTTTGAGTTGGGGAGTCTCACTCTGTTGCCCAGGTTGGAATACAGTGGCACAATCATGGTTTGCCACAGTCTTGACCTCCTGGGCTCAGGCGATCCTTCTGCCCCAGCCTCCTGAATAACTGGGACTACAGGTGTGCACCATCAACCCTGGCTAGTTTTTTTTATTTTTACTATTTTTCTTTTGTAAAGATGAGGTCTCACTATGTTGTCCAGGCTGGTCTTGAACTCCTGGCCTCAAGTAATCCTTCTGTCTCAGCCTCCCAAATTGCTAGGATTATGGGCGTGAGCCACTGTGCCCAGTATTCTAGGTTTTTTCAAGACACAGGGCATCCTAGTGGTTCTTCCTTCCAATCAGGAACCAAAAAAAGAAAAAAACACACAGGAAAGTCCAGAGGAAGTTTTCAAGTGGTGTGAGCCAGGGGGTGGATGCCCAATGCCCAAAGGGTGCTCATGTTGGACCAGAAGTGTGCACAGCCCTAGGAGTACAGAGGCATGAGCTCTAGTTCCTGCTCGGCCTTTGAGCTGTGTGACTGAGGACACGTTGCTCAAACCTCTCTGGTTTGTTCCTCATCCACACACTCCAGTGAGTGGTTGTACAGATAAACAAGAACATGGTCTGAGGGCCTCCCGAGGGTAGGGCCGGGGCTGGATGCCAGCTGGACACAGAGGAGGGCTCCGGACATGGGGAATGAATGGTCTGCTGTGACCCGTCTTTGTCTTCCCCAGGGAACTGTGCCTTGGGCCCTCTGGTGGAACAGAAGGGAGAGACCCAGCAGGGGTGGTGTGGGCTGTGTGGGGTGGGAATGCCATCACCAAGAAGAGCACCTCCCAGCTTTCAGCTGGAAAACGAGAACTTTCCCAGAAGGAGAGGGGGGCTCACAGGGGAGGATCCAGACAGCCAGCAGAGGTGGAGAGGGAGGCCCAGGCGTGACAGGAGCCAGGCTGAGGTGGGTCTGTGTGAGACATGCTCAGGGGGCATGAGTCACAGAGGACTGACAGCAGGGAAGGAGAAGCCACCAACGAAGACAAAGACTGGGACTGGGAGGCCAGATGTGATGGCTCATGCCTGTAGTCCCAGGGTTTTGGGAGGCTGAGGCGGGAGGATCACTTGATCCCAGAGTTTGAGACCAGCCTGGGCATCATAGCAGAATTCTGTCTCAATACTACTACTACTACTACTACTACTAATAATAATAATAATAATAATCCAGGTGTGGTGGTATGTGCCTGTAGATCCAGTTACTTGGGAGGCTGAGGCAGGAGGATCACTTGAGGCCAAGAGTTTGAGACCAACCTAGGCAACATAGCGAGTTTCTGTCTCTACAGTAATAATAATAATTAGCCAGGTGTGGCAGTGCATGTCTATAGTTCCAGCTGCTCGGGAGGCTGAGGCAGGAGGATTGCTTGAACTCAGGAGTTGGAGGCTACAGTGAGCCACGCTCACACTACTGCACTCTGGTCTGGGCACCAGAGAGAGACCCTGCCTCTAAAAAGAGAAAATAAAACGGGGGTGGGGAGCTGGGTCGTGGGAAGTGGGGGAGGTGTGCAACATCTTGCTCCATTTTTAGAGACAGGAAGTGGCCTGGTGGAGGTTCTGGGCTGGCCCGCATCTCCCCATGGTCATGGAAGGCCACGTGGGGCCGGGTCTGGCCTGACTTGCCGTGTGATGCCGGATGGTTCTTGCCCACTCTGAGTCCTGGGTCCCTGCCTGTGTAAGGGGACGTCACCTCAAGAGCTGGCCTGGGCGGTCACAACGACATGCTGGGTCTCTATGCTCCCTATGCTCTCAACAGACTCCACGACCCCATCAGAGAGACTAGAGTCACCCTGCTTATTAGCGGCCAAAAAGCCTGACTGGCAGCCTAGCCCCTGTCATTTGGGATCCAGCTCCTCCCTGGCCCAGAGCCCAGGACCCTTGGGGAAATGTGCCCGGGCAGCTGGAAACTGGGGTCTCTGTGGGGAGAGCCCAGTCAGAGTCCGCCTTGTGCCAGCCAGGAGGAGCCAGAGCCTGGGCGGGGTATAGGCCAGAGCAGCAGGAGGGGCAGAAATGAAGCCCTGGGCCCGCAGCCCAGCCACAGAGGGTCCCAGCACAGGCTGGGCAGGAGCAGGGCGGAGGGGGTGCCGTGACGGGGGGTGGTCTCTCCTGGGAGGCAGGAGGCTGGTAGAGGAGGGAGAGGGCATTCCTGGGCATGGAGGAAGGCCTGGGGGCGGGAAAGTGCAGGACACAGAGCTGCTGAACGGTGGCCTGGACTTGAACTCGGTCCAGCTCACCGTTGCCTCCCTCAGGACTGTGTCCCGAGCAGGTCCCAAGCAGGTCCCAAGGTCCCAGTAAACTGTGTGCTCCATAAGTGTTGCTGTTGACCCACGTGGCACGTGCTAGGGCTGATGAGGCCATTCAGTCATTCTGTTTTTGAGTCGGAGTCTCACTCTGTCGCCCAGGCTGGAGTGCAGTGGCACGTCACAGCCACTGCAGCCTCGACCTGCTGGGCTCCGGTGGTCCTGCTGAATAGGAACTATAGGCAGGCGCCATCACACACAGTTAATTTTTTGATTTACTGTAGAGACGAGGTCTCACCAAGTTGTCCAGGCTGGTCTCGAACCCCTGGGCTGAGGCCATCCTCTCACCTCCGCCTCCCAAAGAGCTGGGATTACAGGTGTGAGACACCGCGCATGGCAGTCATTCATTGCTTTAACCAAGGGCCAAATATCCATCATCCACCCTTGTTATCAGAAAGTACTTATTGGACACCTACTATGTGCCATGCACTAGACTAAATCAGGGGGACTCAAGAATTAAAAATTAAAAAAAAGAAAGGACCCCACCATCCTGGAGCCAGAGTCTAGCACACTGAAGGCGACTCCATTCTCCTCCCCGGTGCTTTCCATCAGAACCTCCTGTCAGGGTCCTCTCATGGAAGCCCTCCCAGATACCCTGTCTTGTCTCACTGTCAGGGTCTTGGCTTAGACCAGGCTGCCCCCTCCCCATGCCAACCCGGAGGGCTCTTTGGTGAAGTATAGGTGGTATTTGTCAGAGCTTCCTCATCTCAGAGACTGGGCAGGGAGTGGCCCTTTGGAAAGGTGGCCATCCAGCATGGGGGCAGGTGCCGCACCCTCCAGGGTCCGTCGCTGTTCCCTGGGTCTCTGTGGTGGCGAAAGGTCGAGGAGAGGCTGCAGCTGGGAGGACAAAAGCCGGGGGTTGAGGGACCCCCAAAATAGCCCAGCCAGTCCTGGGAGGGCAGAGCCAGCCGGCCTCTCCACCCCTGCTGCCTTGTTTCCTGACCTCAGACCTGGAGGTTCAGGCCTCTTTAATTACAGGGGAGACTCACATCTTAAAATCCACATCTAGGGGGCCGTGGCAATGGAGGGCGCACATCGACAACCAGGTCCCCAAGCTTCAGGGGTCCCCACAGCCCTCTCAGTGCAATTCAAGACGGCGCTGGGTGCTCACAGGGGACTTGTCACACCCACGTCACGCACCCAGCTCTGCAGAGTCCGTCTGACTCCCCTTCTGGTCTCGGAGCCTTTGCCCAGTTGCTGTCGTTTCTCCCTGCCCCATCCTCCCCAGCCCTCCCCAGAAAGCTGCCACCCCAGGTAGAGGGTGCTGGGGGTGCCGCACGCCCCAGAGCTGCACAGGGTAGGGGTTTAGGACACAAAGGGGGGTTGAGGCTGGCAGGGCTGGGTCAGCACCCCGTGAGCCCCTCTGTGGTTGCGGCTGACAAGGACAGGCCCCCGGGGGTGCAGGTTTGAATCCTCATGCCCCCGCCTCCCCCCACGTGGCACAAACCTGAACTGCTGTGGTTTTCCTGTCAAAGAGATTTTTTTTCATGATTTCTCTTCCTCTGAACTCAGAGCGAAGACACCACAGGGGTGTTGGCAGAACAGAGGCGGGCCTGGGTGCCTCCAGGTGTCTCCTGACGCCTGTTTACCGTAGGCCCAGCCTCCAGCACAGGAAGGTGACAGGGCCCGCTTCCATCAGCTGGTAGGCTAGAGCCTCCTAGAGGACAAGTGGGCAGGGGACAGGAGTACTGATGGTGGCACAGGCTGTGTAGTGGGGAGAGGACAAGAGGAGACTCTTATCCTGAAAATCTAGTGTGTGTGTGAGCACAGAATTTCCCACTGAGCTTCCCAAGAGCCCAGTCAAAAAGGGCAAAGGGATGAATTACTCGTGAGGGCGTTGGTGATGCATGGCAGGAGGTGGAGGCCTGCACAGGGACTCTGTCCTTGACACTGGATGGAGACACACATGGGAGAGTTCATGGAGATCTGGACAGTGGAAGCAGAGTGACAGAGAAGCTAAGAGCAATCATCTTTTCCGGGTCTCATGGGGCAGAGGAAGACTTCAGGTGGTCCTCCGAGCTCCCGCAAGATCAGAGTTGAAGGCCACTCACCCCAGGAGCATCTCAGCCTACCCACAGTGGGCTGCCTTAAGGCCCAGGCAGAGCCTGGGTCCTCCCCTCACCCAGAACCAGGGCTGCCCCCTTGAATGCCTGGGGCCAAGAAAGAGAGGGGGTGCCTGGGGCCTGCGTGTGTGGGCCGCACTGCAATGGCCTGAGGTGCCTGCACTGGGCCAGGGGGCTGGGGCAGGTGGGTCTGGAGCCCAGGGGCAGCAGCGAGGCCTGGAGCCACCCAAGCCTGTGGTCCTGCTCAGCTGCAGCCCCTCCAGGCCCAGACAGGCTCATGGAAAGTTCAAGGTCAGCACAGACCGTTCCTGTCAAGAATGTCCCAGGGCTGAGGTCAGAGGCTGAATGCCCACCCGGCAGTGCTGCGGGCCCGGGCAGGCTCCCTGCTGCCAGTTGGGGGTCAGGATAGGGGCCAGCGTTTCCCAGAGACTGACTCCTTACTGCCCCCCAGGTTTGATTCCAAGGAGGACAGTGCCCAGGGGGGCTTGGGGGCTGAGAAAGTCTAGGCTGTGAACCAAGGGACAATGGCGAGGAGAACCAGGTATTATCCTGTCCTCACGCACTCACAGTTCAGTTTGGTGACAGACATCCAAGGGGTCAGCCCAAGGTGACATCAGGGACACGTGCTCAGAAGGGACAGAAGAGGATGCTGGGCAAAGATGCTGGTATGGGGATCGGTCGTTCAAAGGCCCTGAGGCAAGAAGGAACCTAGAAGAAACAGCTAGAAGGAATCGGTGGCCAAGTGGCTGGGGGGAAGGGCAGAGAGCAGAGGCAGAAGGCATGGGTGGGGGCTGAGCTGGTGCACAGACGAGAGATCAGGAGATAAGAAGGTGGGGGGGCAGGGCCAAGGGGTGACCCAGTGGATGGTGGAGTCTTGCTGATGGGAGCCCTGCGGGGTCTCCTGGGCTCAGCTTTGGACACTCTGAGTTTCGATGTCTGTGAGACACGAGACCCAGCTCTGGGGGTCTGGGCGGGATGTGCTCGTGAAGGAGCTGAGCCTTAGGGGTACGTGACGGCTGGGAGGAGGCCATGCTGAGCTCGACCCACGCACGGGGGGCCGAGCCAGGGGTGTGTCGGGAAGCTGAGGGACAAGAATCCTGACCCCCCCCCCAGGGAAGGGGGGG